CTAGCTTGTGGACAATAAGAAGAGATTGTCTGATTCCTGAAAAGGTCCTAGTCAGCAGAAAACAGCTCCACACAACGGCCAAGATACCCAACCAGATGTAGACCAAGCAGTTTCTCAGAATATTGGGAGACAAACTGACAGTAGACACAACCAGGTAGTCATATCTTCCTATTAATCTGGTCAGCTGTTTATTGTACATTCACTGAGCTGTGCTATAAATCTTAATAATTTCAGACCTGGACATTTTGATGGAATCTGTAGTAATAGGAGAGGGGCAATAAGTCTGTTTGCCTTTTAATCATGCAGTATCATGATACAGCTGAATACTGGAGTGCCAGCTAAACACTATAAGGAAGGAAGAAACTGCAAACACACACAGACACAAATATATTCAATCAATGATCGGAACAGTAAAAGAGGTGGACAGTAAAATTACACTACAATAATATAATAAAAACTTTTTTTTAAAATGCATGTAAAATGCATGTAAAATTCCAGTGATATAGCTTGCAACATAACATACCCTGGGCATAACACTTATTCTTCCTTACCCCAGATCTAATTCAGTAGAAATTTGTTTTACTGCTTTAATAGCTGCTACACAAAATTTAACTACATTATATTTTCCATTAGGCTTATTGTCTGATAACAGAAAAGCAAGATGAAACTTATTTGATTGTCCTACCATCTGTTCCAACAAATAAGAGTTGAGAGATAGCTACCTTGAGAAACTGCAGTTTTACGTTGGCTTCTGGAAAATTCTGTATGGAGAATATTCGTAGCTCTGGTAAATATTGTGTTAGAGTCTCGGTTGGGCTGAAGATCCTGAGAGGAGGGAGCATTAAATTAATCTTATCAGAAGTTTAGTAAGAAGTGTGATTAAGCTGTTGTGCAGTTCTCTATGGTGGTTCTCCAAGTGTTGCAACCTAAAATTGTTTTAAAAGCAATCAGGCTTGTGCCAGTAAAGTAGGAGCACAGGCCATAACCATTCCAGGCTTCACTTCTTCCTTTGCCTGCCTGCAAGTCCAGACAAGGCAGGAGGAAGTCTGAAAACAGCAGCACTTGCCTTCACAAGCTGACCATGGTCAACTGAGAAACCCTATGATTATAATACAATTCAGTTATTTCATTTCCATAAGGGCATACATTTTCAGCATAAGGAGTTTCCTTAAATCTGTCTTGGAAAACTGAGGAGTAAAATTTGAAAGCAAAACAGCGTGGAAGAAGAATAATTAACAACAACAGCAGCTGTTCTCTGGACAATCTGAACAACCATTGAAGAGAGATTGATTGTGACATCTTCTTAGGTATGTGACACTAAAGAAAGAACAGGACTTCTTTGAAAGCATTAAATGTTACAGAAACAAAGGTTTAGGGAGCTGATTGGCCACAGAACATCAGCTTGAGGAAGTCAAATAACAACAGGGTTCCCCACTTGCTTCTTCTCTAGATGGAATGTGAGTATGCACAGGTACATCAATAATACCTTAAACGACAGAGTTATTTATAATACAGAGCATCACTATTTCATTTATGCTAAGCAGTCCTTCATATTAAGTAATTACCTTCTATCACGTAAAAATAAGTATTATTTTTGTGGTCGTTCTGATATCTGGCTTGCCCCAGTAGTCCTTTCCTAAGATCCCAGAGTGTAGAGTTGATCACTCTGCTTTCTTTTGGGAATCAAATCAGTTAAATAAAGTTATGAACCTCTTCTTGTGAGAACTTGGCAAGGAGCATGCTGTACATTTACGATCCTCAACTTAATCATCTTGGAAAGCTAATCCAAAGAAGCAGATATAAATGTGGGTAACCTCTAACTCCCAGATGTTCAGCATTCACTCTTCTTTTTTATGACATAATGCATCTACACAAAACAAGCCAGCAAGCCAGTCATTCATTCTTTCCTGCTTAATTAATGACTCAGCTTAAACAACTTAGCCACTTGCAAAGCTCATTAATTGTGTATGTATTTTAATTATACAACATGAGATTGCAAACTGTTAATATGTTGAGCCAGGAAAAGCGATCTACTTGTTCTCTCCAATGCTTTACATAACAATTTCAGCCTGGTAAGGCTTTCCCAAAACTAGTTGCTACATCAGACTGAGATCTTCAGCATTCTTTGTGGTGAAAACTTGCTTTAATATTTTCCACCAAGATTCCATCTTTCCTATTTGCCTTTGTGCCCCCTTTCTCATACACTTGTCGGTGATGCTATCTACGCTCTCTAGAAGTTTAGGACTTCAATTCCCATCTGCTCTAGTCAATGTGAGCAATGACAAGCCTTCATGGAATGGTCCAAATATCAGATCACCGGATCTCCAAATTAGGACTTTTGTTGTTTAGTAAAGATATGTTACTATTGTATAAGAGGGTTAATTGAAAGCTAGACAGTGTCATTCATTTCTAGGCAGTGACGGATTGTTTACAAAAACCTAATGCAGGAGATAATGGAGATATAACATCAGGCCATAAATTCATGCAAGCTTCCTTTCTGCGTTGGAAAAGCACTTGGCTGGAGCGACAAGTAAATAATGTAAGCACATTCAGTTAGCTGATTGAGTGGGAAACATGTGCACGACCATTACTTGATCTGTTTTGTCTATGCAGATGAATCACTTACCTTCAGCCTTAGTTTTCTGGGGTGATATCTACTTTCCGGTTCATGACGTGTGCACAAATCCCCTGACTTTTCCAAGGACAACCCATGAAATTTACAATGATTTTGTAAATCATAATACTTCTTCTGCTTTATTAACTTGGAGAAATCTATCTGTTTGCGTATATACAGAATACAAGCAATTGCTGTTTATCTCAGCAGGTGACTTTACATGCTCTGGACATGTATTAAAAGCCTTGTTTGCATTTCTGAATGTGTGTGGATGGAAAATATTCCTAGCTGCTTTCTCAAAGGCTTGGTTTTCTGCTTTAAAATTGATATAAAAGTGGTTATGGAATGATTGATTGCAGCTTTCTTTCTCTC